TGTTTTCTTTACTTTCAGAAGTCTGTCGGTTACTTTAATACATTCAATTTTTCAATTTTTACTCTGTGCGATTAATAAACTTTGAACCTGAAAATAGCGTAAGCTGCGTTCCCAAAATTTTCCGAACCCATCTCCACGTAGGGGATGCCCAACCAGGAAATATCACATATCACCCATTTAACCACACGGAAAAAAATGCTGATTTAACAATTCAATTGCTAAAAACAGTGAGTGCAATGTTTCAACGCAGATTTTGCGACAAAAAAATGCTACTTTAACCACCCCCGTGGTTAAATTAGTTTACAATGTGGTTAAAGTAGCATTTTTTTGTTGTAAAATCTGCGTTGAAACATTGCATTCACTGTTTTTAGAAATTGAGTTGTTGAATCAGCAATTTTTTTTTTCCATGCAGCCAAGGGTCTACGCCCTTAGATGCGAGCCAGTCCGATCCTGATCGTCCTCCAAGCCTCTTTTATACAATGTTTGATTGGAAAATATCACGCCTGAAAATATTTCCACATTGACGAACAAGTAGCACAGGAGTTTGCGATGGGCTGGTACTCCAGAGTGTGTGCACTGGGACAATTAGAACATAAATTCTGTTCTGAAAGAGAATTTTGTGTGAAAACGTTTCGGCGGAGAGACTCACGCAATTATTTTGAAATGGCACTCTGAGATGTTTGTGGCTCATTCTACGCTCATCGGTTCACGCAACAAGGTTGTTTACACTACGTTTCTGTTTTTCTCAATCTACATTTTGCACGTCAACTGTTGGTAATCATGTGCTCATGAAATGAACATTCTTTGTGAAAGAATATTGTCGATTTTCTCCAAAAGAGTTTTTTAGTTGCGTTTATCAAAACAGTCACAATATTCATTGTGGTACTCTACAAAATTTTTTTCAACAATCTTGAATGATCGCTTAATCTACTTTATTTTAAAAGATAATTTCAAGTTCGTTCAGCAACAGGTTTGTATCTTTTGCTAGTGCTAAAGGCTAGAAGCTTAACTACAGTTCATATGATTTTATGAATGAGTGCAAAATGTTGCTAAAATATATCCTTGCCCCATAGTGTCCATATTGTCCCGCTTAATATGATCAAGGATCTTTTGCGCAAGCCAAAAGATGATTTGATTTGACAATTAATTAGGAATAATTTCCAATTAAACGTTTTGATACAAACAGAGCAACTCATTTACCGTATCTCTATCGATTGGATACCAAAAAATAATGAAATGAGTGGAAGCCGATGATGTATGTTTGTAACTGCTTGTTCAAAATATCAGAATGAAACACAAATTTCAGCATGTTGATAAGTCGCAGAAGTTGAAACAATTATGATTATTGGTTGCATACAATGAATTTGGTCATTTCATCATGAGTTAGCGCCCGTGTAAAGAAGCGCGCACACACATACACATACATAAACCACACTAAAGTTTTTTTTCTTACAAATTAGATTCTTTGATTTTACATATTACTCATATGTTCACTATTATACAAGCCACGAATCATTGAAACTGATTATTATATGTTCATCCAATAAACAATCAATAGAAATGACTGTTTGTTAATGAAAAAAAGCTCAAGTGTGAAAATCATAGTAACATTTGGAGACGGAATAGAATTTCGGCTGAATTGATTTCAGACGTGGTATCAGACATACATCAGTTCTACGTAGAATTGCGTGAGCAAAGCAAATATTTGAGCGTTACATTGTGTACTCTCTTAATTCCAGCACCTAGTTTTCCTCGGTTTGATGTAATTAGGGTGAGGCAGACTTGCCAAATTTAGGAACGAGACACTACAAACTAGTAATTACCTACTACACTTTTTAAAATAGCAGAGGTAGTTATGTAAAATAGCTTGGCATACTCAATTATAAAATAATTACTAAGTATGGGTTAATGATTATGGATTGCAAACTTTATATCGTTACATCAGCGATCGAGCGTTTAATAATGGTTAATTTTATCCGGATATTGACTACCCTGCATTTCGCTTAATGTTGTCTCTTCACACGACGTGAACGTAGTGCGCTGAATGAGTTGCTCGTCATCATCAACGTACTTTGAGACGTGCAATTTTCGGCTGGCACGTCACTCCGCGGATGATGACGTCAATTTTTTAATACGTCGCAATACCTACGTAAATGGATCACGCTCCGGAGTAAATCTCAATAGTTCTCTCAATAATTATTAGCTTTATTTGATCACGTTTCATTATTCATTTTGCTCCTAATCAGGACGAATTTCCTTTAATGAGATAGCCAAACGACATAATTGACATGGGACGAAAGGGAGCATGTGTAAATTTCTAGTACCAGACACCGTATGGACTGCATTTTCAAGAGAGGACTAGTGGTCCCCTCTTGAAACAGTAGTCCTGGACTATTGTCACTACGTCATCCATACAATCACTTATCTGCATAAGAAAGCTAATGTCACATTCGTTGTTTCGAACGTGACCCACAAATGGACGTATTTTTGCCAAAGGGAACTATGTGTATTAAGACATGAGCCCTGAGACCCATAAAAATGTATGTACAACAGGGCTCACGTCATGATGCACATAGTTCTGTTTGACAGAATTACGTCCAAATAGTAGTTCCTCATTGCAAAATGCAGTTTAATTGTAAAATAACAAATCAACGTTTTAATATTCCTCTAACTCTTTGCATTTTTAGGGGAAAAAGATAATTTATCCTACATAATTTAAGAAACACCCGGAGAATTTGGAATTATTAATTGAAACTGTTTGCAGGGTTCATTTTCAGTTCTTTCTGGTGGGTTTAAATATTCAAAGAAAAAATATTAAGTTCATCATCGAAGGAAATGTGGCAAATTTAAAATGCTCACAGGGGTTTTTACTCGGGTGATATTCAGGAGCTAAGCTCCCTGGGAACTTAAATGAAATGCATTTCCCTCACGCAATGACCGATCAAGTTGCTGCAAATTTATTAGCGTATTGTCAAGGGATTAGGTTGCGATCCAGGGTTTTTTTTTTTTTTTATATAAATCTCAAGGTCCTTCGAGTTAAATGGTCAGACCGGTCCCTCTTCACTGAAATTGACCGTTTCATTTGTGTCTACCCGGGAACGTTGTATCTGCTTTTGATAATCCTACACACGGCTGAATATTATTCAAAGTTCATCAATTTCCTTTCCATATTTTTGATGCCGTCAAATCAAACCGTAAAAAAAAATAACTTGGGGTTTTTTACGCACCCAACTAAGATTCAAAACAAAGTTTTGGGAGTAAACGACTGAACTGTGCTCGTATCCATAATATATGTAGATCCGTTTTTGCCAAAAATTTACAATAAATAAACTAGTCATTCAGTAAAATTGATTCAAGATTTCGATATCGTCACTTTCCGGCCAAAGTATCACAAGTGCCATGCGAAGTTTCAAAATGTCTGCCATTTCTTCTTCTTACAGAGAAATTGTTGGTTGAATCTGTTTGAAAATTGCCGAATTTTTAACGGCAGCACAAAACAAATTTAGTGAAATTTTTCGGCAACTTCGTTGAACAATTGCTCTGCAAAAAGATAAAATTGCCTCGAAAATTTTGAAACGTCGCATGGCACTCGTGATACTTTGGCCAGAAGGTGACGATATCCGTTGACTTATAATGTAGATTCATTGGCGGATCTAGCAAATTAATTGAAAACATTGTTTTTTCTCCATTCAAACCCAAGGAAATGTATCGATTCTTGGAGGGGTCTGATGCTCTGATAAAAATCGATTATTTAACATGGGTTGAAATAGAGGAAATCCAGTGTTGCCAAGTTGCTGATGGATCCGCTTCTAATTTTACTATGACCATTTACTGTAAAAAATTAGCCATTCCTTAAAGGAATGCCGCGATACAGCAGACGAGTAAGGGATTTTTTGATGCAGAGTATTTGGAATCAAAGTAACCTCTGGTTTTAAAAAAATATTTTCAAGGAACTTTTCGACTTATGTCATGTCATTCATGGCGAAGTTTGGCATTTCAGTCTCATGCTAAGGTAGTAAAAATATGATTCAATCACATAAAAAATAGTGTCAGCCATAAAGAGCGGGACATTTCAGGTCGAAATTCTTTAGAACAAGTGCCTGGCTGACCGTTACGGCCGTCCAAACCAGTCAAAGAGCCCTCCAGGAAGTTCGCGATCTGCCATTCGCGGACGTCTATGGCGGCACCGAACCAACCGCCGCACCGCGCCATCATAACGTCAAAAAGCTGACCCAATTGACCTTTTCATACTGATATGGGAGCAATGTTCCATAGTTTAAAATTTCACGAGTCAAACTTTCCTGCGTTGCGCCATCAGCACCGCAACGTCACAAAGTGGGCCAAAACGAACCAGGTTCTTGAATATACCTCAAAGATGAGCGCGCAAACAACTATACTGCCGTGCTAAGTAGAAATGCCGCATGAGCATTCGAATTTTGAGAAATTTCCTCTAAGAAAATATGTATTTTTAAAGAAAGTTATGAATATTTTCCTTTAAAATTTCAGACTTTTGACATCAATTTAAGAACCAAATCCTCCGAAAAATCGGAAGTGAAATATTTACACATTTTTCTGGGTATTTTCGATTTGCCAGGGAAATTTGGCATCGCCTGATGGCTCGCACGGTGTTCTTTTTAGCATGGCAGTGCATACTTTCTAAAATTACGCTCGATACATGACTGTCCACTGCGAAAAAAGCCTTCACGGTAAGAATTTATGGTAATTTCGACAACACTTTGGATTGATATTTGCGCCAAACAGGCGTCTACTTGCATTAGCTAGAAGTATGGTTTGGTCAGACAGAAATGTGGTAGCACATAGCAATCATAGTTTTAGCTGGTGAAATTGTACCAATGGCTGACTCCAAAATTATCCAAGAATATATTTGAAATTACCATGATTTTTTCCATATCCGCTTTGAGAAGAGATTTTGAAAAGTCTCAAAAGTGGCATATAAGCTTAAAAGAAAGGAACACATGGAAAATAGAAAACTCGAGACAATTTATAAATCATTGTACAGTAACTTCATTAGTAAATTTATAGTTATATACATTTTAGGAACTTCCTTTGAGACATCAACTGGACCGAGTTTAACAGAAACACACCAAGTTGCAGATCAAGTTTTCACTGATAAAAATATGTTTGAAGTTTTCTTCCGCCATGGGACTCAACGTGAAAGACAAATTTTAAAAACTTTTTTCTCTCTCAACTTTTTATAACTTTGAATTTTTAACGGGACATAATGCACGACTAGAATTCAAAAGTACTCCAAACTCATTTTCTTTCCCAAAATGCGAGGATTGTTGGTGTGACTCAGTTAAACTTGGCAAAACGATTGTCTACCTTACATATACAATAATGTTACAGTTAACCAAAAAATGTGAATATATTCTATTTATTCGATCAAAGAAGAGGAACAAATTTAACATTTTTATTTTATCTCAATTGAATAGAAAACTGCTTTTAATTATGTTGCCCCCTCCCCCGTCATGCTTGAAAACAATTAATTGCCCGTGAGACGAAGCAGAAAAAAAGCGCCGCACGTTTTAAAAACTCCCGAACAGATTTCGAAAAAACGACTTGATCAAACTAGAATATCTAGTTCACCATCCAAACCAACTTCCTGGTTTCGGTTTGGTTTCCTCGGCTGGTTTTTTCGGCTCCTCTTTCACTGGTGTTGGCGCTGATGGACTCTGGGTCTGGGGCATCTGGTTTTGGGTGGTTGCATCTGGGAGTTGTCCTCCTCTGGCCCTTTTTCTTGCCTCCTGCATGCCCGCTTTAATGCTTCCTATGGACGACAGACCAAGGTCTTTCCAAGTTCGCACCCCTTCTTTCACCAAATCGGTACTGGCATCATGGATAGCGCCTGCAGTATCGGCAACCTGTCACACGAGAAATTCAACAAATTATAGACCTGTATTTTCTCGCTGGGTTCTCGCTGGTAGACCTACTCGCTGGACTTTTGGATGAACGATTTTGCACTTCAGACGCATCAACACAGAAACAATTTTTGACCATTCCAATTTAAAATCTATGACCTTTCGACGTGTTGTTGACGAATCTATGACGTTCCCACACATTTTTTTTAACCAATTTTGGGTACTCCTTGGTATTTTATGGAAGACTAACTTAAGACATAACAAATTTAAAGTAATTTACTTTTTTAGATGAGATAGTGTATTCTGAAGCTAATTAAAAATAATATTTTTCTGAGAGGAAATGAACTTTGTACTGAACTAAAAGCCAAATTAAGAAATGGGAGAAGCTCTGATCATTATAAGTTGGGGAATTTTGAACGTTTTCAACAAATTAGCCTTAGTAATCAATCAAGTTCTAATGTTCCTAGCAGTCTAACATTTTTAACAAAATATTTCAGCTGTGATATCCTGGTCGCATTTTTTTATCAACCATCAGGACAATATTATCGGCAGCAATACCAAACTCGTATTTTGAAACGCTGCAATGGAGATATGAGGGGCTTGGAGGACAAGGTGCATACGTGCAGTTTTTGCTGTTTCGAGAATTACGTGTTTGAAGTTTCAAAATTATATGGATCCTTATGGTGAAAAAAAAGATCAAACTATCTTTTTGACGCTTAATAATCGAAATTCGGGAGCGAATTTTTCACAGCATAAGTATGCATTCAAACTAGTTTTGCTTAAAATCGATATTTCAACTTTTTCGAAAACTCCACATATGCTCCTTGTCCTCAAAGCCCCTCATACGTGGTCTCGCACTTCAACCAACTTTGTACATATGGACTTTATTTTTCAATTTGGAACTATAAATTCTAGCCCGGTTTAAAAACGACGTATGTGCCATTAGTTTCCCTACGCACATAAGTGTTTTTCCAAAAGAGCCAGAATTGGACGCATTTCTGTCAAACGGAACTAAACGCCAATTTGAGTTCCTTTTGAGGAATTTAGAATGCCGGATAGCGCGTTCTGTCAAACGGAACTAAGCGCCATGGAAAAGCATTGGGAGGATAGGACGGAATGAGCCCGACGCCCGGTTCCGCCGCCAATCCAAGCCCCCCTCTACCTTCCTCCCCCTATGGCGCTTAGTTCCGTCTCACAGAAATACGTCCAATTTATAGTTCCAAATTGCAAAATGCAGTCCATATGAAGCTTACCTCTTCGCGGACTTCTCCACCCTTATCGACGACATTGCCAACCCCGTTGAGGACATTCACAAAACTGCCGGACGTATTGGACACGAGGGACTTGGCGACCCTCTTGCTAGCACCATGGACCTTATCCGATTCACCGAGAACGAATTCAGTAGCACGCCTGGTAGCATCAACGGCCTCAGCGCCCCTGCGCAAGATCCCGGTGAGGGCGCCCATGCTTAGGTCCGCGAGAGACGCCCCGAAGCGACCGGCCGCGTGGCGGGCTTGCCGCAAGGCGTCGAACTTCATCTGCTGGACATTGTTGGCCAGGTCAGCGGCGCCGCCCAGCGTCTTCACCCCGTTCGCCATCGAGTTGGTCGTCAGTTCCACCCCGGAGGCCGTCGCGTGCGCCCCGCTGTTCAGCAGGGTGCCCACCCCCTTCAGCGAGCTAGACGCCAGCCGAGCGATGCCATTGGTTGATGGTGGGACCGTTGGGTCTTCCACAGGCGGATCAGGCTGCAATATCATATTAGAGGGTACATAAATAGAGGCGTAACTAGCAAATGGGTCAGTTGCGCTGGTCACAAAATGGTGTTTTGATGCTTGATTCTTGTAAATTAGCTAAGAATAATAAGATCTGTCTAAACCGCAACTTTCTACGTGCAATAATAACCGAGATATCGCCCTTATCAAAGTTGGGTTTTTGACGTTATCCACCCTTGCAGTGACACCCTTGGTTTCTCCCACCCTGCTTTCATCAGTCAGCGTGACGCACATTTTGCACTGGTTGTTCAACGTGAAACTCGGATAAAAGCAAGGTGGGAGAAACCAAGCGTGTCACTCCCGCGGTGGATGACTTCGAAAATCCGACTTTTCAAAGGGTGGATAATGTTTTGGTTATTATTGAACGTGGAAAATTGCGATTTAGACAGGTCTCATTATTTTTAGCTTATATACAAAAATCAAACATCAAAACACAATTTTGTGACCGGCGCATCTGACCCATTCGCAACGAGCCTGTTGCAAACTTCAGGTGGAGCAAAAAGAAGGGATATGTCTCAGAGGAATTCGTTCATAAATGCACTAGGATTCTACACAATATTTAACATGGCTAACGCTTCCGTGCGCAAATCGTGAAGAAGCAGCACGTGCATCATTGCAGCATTTTGTACCGCAATTTTTGTTTTCAGGCACCTAGGTTCTGAATGTCGGGAAACGAACACCGATGTGACAGTCAACGGGAATACAAACTTTGGCTTATACAGCAAAAATTTCAAAAATAAAAAAATGGTTTGTGCCGGGTTTTGGCCCAAAAAACGGAGACTGAGATTTTTTTTTTTTATTTTTAAAAATCGACCTTTATTAGAAAACACAAGAAAATATAAATGACCTGCAACAAATGCAGTATATGTGAGTGTGATAATAATAGATAGGTTCAGAAAAAAGAAAGAAATTAACAATGCAATATATAACAAGGTAATAAAAAAGTATTAATAGATTATGTGACTCCTTGAGTCAAGGTCGCGCCGGAATTACATCTATGTATACCATCGGCGGGGGGGGGGGGGGACATATGGTTGTTTTTGCACCTAATAACTTGTTCTACAAAAGACGAGATGCAGTTCCAGGGGGGGGGGAGACTGAGATTTAGATAGAAACTTTTTTTTTTAGTTTTGTAAAGCAAAAATGACGATCACTTTCATCTTCACCATTAAAGCTGCATTATGATAAGGACATGGCATACCTTGCAATTTCAAATAGGATTTTATGGAAAACACGTTCTCTGAATTGCAAAACTCTAGCTGTTCCTCCGATTTCGTTCAACATTTTTCATCAAAAAATTATCTTTGGAGACTCCACTAAGCTCTGGCATCAATAATTATATTTTGAATATTTCGAGTAGGTAAACCTCTCGTTGGCCCAAGAAAATTAACTAATATTTTTAAAATTTTCATAACAATTTCGATTTGAAGGAAATTTTAAATTTACCTGTGAGAACACGAAACCCACGAGCGTGAAAATTAAAATCTCCTTCGCAAACATGTTTGCGTCTGGAGCACTCACGAACGCTCTCGGCACTGTTTGGGTTAACTGAACTAGAAGAAAAGCACAGCTGTTTTTATACAGCTCACTACTAGGACTGAGCGAAATGTGAAGTTGAAATGGGAACACCTGTGACTTTTGTACCTCGCGTTTCAGCGCTTATTAAGAGCGTTTTCCGGCGGCAAATTTAATTTACTTTTTGTCGCGTTTTCGGGGTGATTCAAACCCACGGAAGGATCGTTCTCGAAATTCCCTGTAAGGTGTTGTCATTTTGGTGTTTGCGAAGTTTTCAAAAGTGCAATTTTTCACTGAGTGACCATGCACGGCCATATGATTGGCCAGGGCAAGCCGATTTTGAACTAATACGTACGAATTCCGATCGAAATTTTCCGTCATTTTGCAATTATTGGAATGCGTTCACGTCTAAGGTAGCGAATCGCGTTTTTATAAAGAAAGAATCACCTTAAAATGTGGTATTCCATCATTTTGAAATTTTTGAATGTGCTTATAACTTTGATAAAAATCACGTTTTTTAAAAGAGACGAGAATAATCTTTTCAAACGTGCAGTGTGCTCCGATTCATTGGAAATTAATTTGTAAATGAGTGTTGTTTTTGCTATTGGTCTACCTTGATTTTTTCGTCATCCGTTTGGGCCCAATCCAACCATTTCAGATAAGCGAAAGTCTATTTCAGTTCAAAATAGCAGTTGATATTGATGGGGATTAATTTGTTGGACACGATATAATTAATGTTTTAGAAAAAGCAATCGGCTGAGAAAAAATCGTTTCTGGTATCAGCCAAAACAAATGCCTTCTCTTTTGCTAAACTCAGTCCAATTTTTGTGCATGATTAAGGTGGAGGGAGAGTAAATTGTGGCAACATTGCAACAAGTAAGTGCAAAGTAAAAAAAATTAATCATGGTTGCTGAGGCAAACAACGTCTGCGAGGAAGAAACACAACAATGCAAGAATGGTACGACAATTTGTTCCTGTTCAGCCATACCTCGATAGCGCCTGTTGCTGAATGAGTATGCAACAAGCTACACAAAAAATTGAAGTTTGCAGCAGTTCTGCAACAGTTTGCATATTGATCAATTCCAAAAATATGGAAAGGAACACAAAGACTCACATACTTTCCGAAATCTTATTAAGATACGAAGCACTGAAAACAAGTTCATGCAGTTTTACATACTAATATTTCAGACCTTCCTTTCTGCTCTATTTACTTCTCAAAATTCAAAAAAAGAAAGATAGAGCTTTGAAATCTACATCTAAAGGTTTTAATAAGTGCAATTCAGTGTTAAAACATAAAAATTGTGTACGTATAGATCAATGATATCTAACAGCTAAAAAATTTGTCGGCAACTTCTAGATGGTATTTTTAATAATTTCTGCCATTCAAAAGCATTGAAAAGTTACTGCACCTAGCATTGTCATTGAACGCCGCCTATCACATGACCATTTTCTGAGCCTGCCGAAGGGGTACAATGCATTCGTGAGGCAGCGTTTAAATCTCCCTCCCTCACCTGTCCAGTCATTTGCAAACCAACCGTTCAAATTTTCTCGGGCGATGACTGAACTAATTTAATTGACCTGTTACTCCTCCCATTCTCCTCCACCTCTTCACCTCACCCTTTTATCAACCCTTCCTCACATTGCGTTTGCTGGTGCAATTTTATTAGTGTGACATTTTAGCGGGTGTGTATCATAATAGGTCCATTCCTTACTGACTAGCTGTCTATGGCTTGCGGTAAAGCTGCGCAGCCAAATTTAAGTCGGCCGAGGTTACATTCAGGATAAAACGCTGGAAATTTGTAATAATACACACTTCAATAAAGAGTTCCTCTCACGTGTGGCAGAATCATGTTTAGATGGTTAGCTCTTAAGTCACAGAACATTTTGTGGTATTTGTCTAAACCTCATGGTTCTTCAACTCATACCCCCTGCTCCCTCGGAAAAGCACTGCTGGAATTGAGATGGGATTCTTTTTAGACCTCGTAAGTCCTCGCCAAGCTGAGTAATGAAATTGTGTTTTCTAAGCGTGATTTTTCGGGACTTGACGACTCAACATGTGCCCTAGACCTCACCCTGCATATCAAAAAACATTTTTGAATTGTTTCAAAAATATTTTCGTAAACTTGTCAAAAATATTTCCGTAACACTCTACAAATGGTTTAAAAATGCTTTGGAAATATTTACGCAATATAGTTATGTGAACAATTTGAGGCTGTCAACAATATTTTAAAAAGATTTTTAAAAGATTTTTGACAACGTTTAGAAAATAATATCGGAGCATTTCGAAAACATTTTAAAAATATTGCCGACAAGATTGCTGACAATATTGTCGACGATGTTGTGACATTCTGATGTTTTCAAGAAGTTGAAAGCGTAAACCAAAAATTTAGTAAAAATGTCTGATTTCTTTAGATTTGCTTACTTCCGGCATGACTTATCCCTCTATAAATACCATCAAGATGAACGGCAAATACGTTCCGTTTTTGGAACGTCCGAGACCCGCATTTTTCGGAGCGGATGACACAAACGGCACCGTGGATGATGGGCTATTTTATTGGTCCGAGTTGGGTCTTAATTACACAACGCCCGCCCGCCGCACACGTCGCGACGCCGGGTCACGACGACGCGACGGCGACGCGCCGCACAATGTCCGATGATTTATGGATAATTTTGGCGGGAATCTCGTTCTCGCCCGCACGGCGCAGGCGCGATAAACCGGGTATTTACGGCTGGATCGTATTCCTCCCGGCGCCTCATAACTAATATTCGCCGCCTAGTTCCACGCGTCCATGACCAAACGACGTATCTTCAGTTTGAAATGAGTCTCTATTGACTGTAAACTTCGAAGTTTTTCAGGGTTCACGTAAAAATAAAGTTACGCTGTTACGTCGGTGGTGCGACGATTTGTATGCGATGCAAGTCGATGAGTCCAGATCGATATACTGTCGTGCTACGTAGGAACGGCGTATGGACCTCCTATAATTGCCGAATTTCTCCGATTAATAATTTTATTTTTATTGACTTTAGGAACTTAGATGAATCTAAATCAAGCCAAAAAACCATAAATTCAATGGCAGACTTGACTCAAATTTAGTCTGTATGCCTATCTCGATTTTCGCAAGAGCCCCAGAAAGTATAGATTTATACGTAAAACGGGGCTCATGCGTAAATTGAGATACAAGCTTTCGTCAGAGGAAGGACGCTTTATCTATTATAACCACCCTCTTTCACCGAAAGGATCGCTCCAATTTCGTTTTGTCTTATTATTTGGTTATAGGTTTATTATTCTATAAATCTCAATAATAATCAGCCAACAATTTACTATTGGCAAAATGGGTATCGAATTATGTGATGCACTCCAAATGTAGCTCCTAGGTTTCTGAGACAATGTTCTTCGAACCTCTCATTCTTGCCTTATTTTATTTTTTCTAGAATTGTGACCTACTTAATGACACTGGCGTCCTTCAGTTCAGATAATTTTCTCTGATAAACCCAGAGGATTAATTTTGCAAATTTTCGAACAAAATTATATTTTATTCGAGAAAATGTGACAACATCAGAATAATCATACGCCGCGCCGCGCCGTTCCTTCTCAGCACGGGATCACACAATCGACGGTCTTTCCATCATATATCGAAGATCGATAGGAATATCGCTTAGTCGGAGAGGAATGTTGGAATATATAGATTATGATTTTTTATTCGGGTGAACGATGCGACTCATAAGGCGATCTTTGGTGCACGACCCTTTGCATGCTCCACCGATCTGGATCAAAGTTGATGCGGGTCAGGAACGAACTGATTGTGGCCGACGCTCGACCGTTTTGTAATATACCGCGCGTCGATCCACTCAGCGGCTCGATTTGCGGCCTAAAAGACAAAGGATTCTGTAGGATCGCATCAAAGAAATTGGACTCTATGCGGTACAGTCCTTTAAAATTGGGAGTTAAGACGCATTGCAGTGCTCTTGTACTATGTTCGTCAAAAGTTCCGGAATTCGGACCTTTTTTGCTCCAATTCTTCCACTCCATGTCCGTCAAAAGTTCCGGGATTCGGAAATTTTTTGCTCCAATTTTTCCACTCCATGTCCGTCAAAAGTTCCGGGATTCGGAACTTTTTTGCTCCGATTTCTTCCACTCCATGACCGTCGAAAGTTTCGGGATTCCTAATATACTGGAAAAAAAACACATTGGATCCGGACTCTTGAAAACATTGACAAGAAAAAATACTCTTGATTCAATTGGATTTTTGCTTGAATCAAAACGAAATCCGCTTATGGTTCTTGATTTAAGCTATATTCTGATTGAATCAAGAGTACTTTTTCTTGTCCATGTTTTTAAGAGTCTAGAGTCTAGATCCAATTTGTTTTTTTTTTTCCAAAGTAGATTTTCTCAGAAATTCCGGAAAATGCAAAAAAAATCCGGAACATTTCGGAAATTTCAAAAGTACCGGAATTCGGAACTAGTTTCGAGAAATGGGTGCACTGGAATAATGAGTCTATTTCTGATTTGCCTCTATATTTCAAGCCTCCACAGTGTAACAAACGCGAATAAAGATTACATTTTCACTAATTTTAAAGACTATAAACTGGAATGAACTGGGGAATTAAGGGCACGTCGGGGAGGGAACGGAGGAAAAGGACTCAGGAATAAGTTGATCAAAGATTATGAAAAACGTTCAAGCCGAGTAATCTTTCTTCCCAATGCGATTTAATGCGATTTGCGATTTTATCATCGTAAAGTGTCTAATTTTGCAAATCGGCTTGACTCATGTAGACCCTAAGTTTTTGGCGAAGCTAAAGGAAGTTTTGATAGATGTATAGAATAGACAACTCTTAATTCTCATCAGATATAATATAAACTAGCAAATTTCGGATGTGTCCATGGTATTTTTCGTTTAATTTTGATGAAAAAATCGCACTTTAGTGCACCTTGTTGAGTCGTCCATCCAGACCCAGACGCTAGAAATCCACGAAGAGGCTATCCGACGCACAGTGGAACGAGTCAATAAGAGAGGTCGGACATGATATTTTGGACTGAAACTGCAAATTTCAATGTTTATTACAATACATTTTAAATTTAAAGGGGTGCTGCTGGAAGAAAATTTC